CTACGCCTCTTTCTGCCTTTAATCCCCCCCTGTTATAACAGATACCCCTGTCGAAGTGTCGCGAAGTCTAGGATTTCACCGTTACTGCTGATAGACCCCTGACCCGCGACAGTATTTATTGTCTGTTTTACTTTAAAAATAATAATAATATAATTTTTTAGATTAAAAAATCCACCTAACTTTATATTATTATTATAATTACTATTTTAAATTAAAATAAAAAAATTTTTTTATATAATTTTAATAATAGAATATATACAGTTTATAACAAAAAAACTTATACTATATATTAACTTTTATTTTTATAATATTTTAATAAGTAATTAATAAAATAAGATAATAATTTATATTGATATACAATATTTAAAAATATAAAAAGCAAGTTTATTTAATAAAGTTTTTAAAATATATTATTAAAATTTTTTTAGAATTTAATTTTTAAAAAGATTTTTTTTGAAATAATTAATTTTAGCTACATTACAAAATAATAATAATATGTATATATATATACACTATATTATAAAACTTTTTAAAAATTTTAAAAAATAAATATATATTTTATGAATTTATAAAAAAAAAAATTATTCAAATTATATAAAATCTTATAGAATATTTTTTAAAATATAAATATAAAAAATATACATGTATTAAGAAAGTATTAAAGTTATTATATAATTTATTTTTTAATTTTAATTTTTAAATTTATAAATAAAAAATTTTAATAAAAAAAAGATTATAAATATTTTTTTAAAAAATAATTTTTTTAAAATTTTATTAAGATATTTTATAATAAAGACTTGAGCAATTTATTTATATATATATATAAAATAAATAATTTTTTATTAAAATATAAATCAAAATCAAAAAACAAAACAAAAAAAATTCATGCTGATTTTATATAATAAAAATATGATTTTTATAATTAATTTTTTAGATTTTAAATAAAAAAATAATATAATAATAATATAAAAAACTTATATAAATAGTTTTAATAATCTTATTTTCTAACTTTTAAAGAATATATTTTTAATTTTTTAGATTAATTAAATAATTATTTATCAAGTTATAAACAAATAAAAAATTCTTAAAAGTTTTGCAACACATTGTATACTGTATATATCTTATATTTGGTATTAATTATACCACATAATTTACATAATGAAATGTATTTTAACAAAAATTTTATTATCAATAAAGTGATAGCAATAATTTATAAAATATTAAATAATTGGTAATTATATCTTTTTTTAAAAAAAACTTTATATATTTATGACTTTATATTATATTATATTATATATTTTTTTAATAAAATAAATGATATTATAAATTTAAAGTATTTTCCGGGGTTTCAGGTTACCGTATATGTTGTATTATTTAGAAATCGAAATGTTGAATTTGAAAATATTTTTAAAAATCATATGAATCTCTTTGTTAATGAGATACTGTATTACGATTTCGTTTTAATGTATGTATGTAGCATAAAGAATCTTTTTTTTCTTCCAATAATAACGCGTATACAGTACATACGCGATAGTGCAATTTATTTGTACAACCAAAAAATTTTTAAAAGATTCGGTGATATCATTGAAATACTGCACATACAAAAATCATTACTTATTAAGAAAATTAAACTGTTAAAACCTCAATGAAAGAGGTCTGATCAAGCACAATGATTAGACTTCGTTACGCAATATCGACAACATTATTCGCAATCAAATAATTTTTGCGAATTACGCAATCGATTGTATAGCTTAATTTGAAAAATCGAGAAACTTCGCCTTCGAAATCGAAAATGTTCACATGATGATACACGAGTTCACCAGATTTGGTAGCGAATTACGTGAAGATCACCAAACTGTCCTCATTGAGAGATTTCAAAAGATTGGAATATCCTGTTTCATTTATTCAAACCTTTGATTTATGCGATAGTTCATTTTATTTACACGTAATCTAGACAAATATGAACATTAATAATGCTGTATGTACTATATGTCATATAGTAAATGTAAATATCTAACGGGCGTAAAATACAAGATGATTTCTATTGTACTCTATAATGAATAATATCGGCAGGGCTTTTTGGTCCTGTCTGGATTGTAGAATTGATCTCGAATGGGGAACATGAGAACATTTAATTTGGGGGTTATGACCACACACGTGTTGCAGGGGATAGTTATCCAATCCGTTTTTTCATATGTGAGCGGTTCTAAATAAAAAATCGGCGAAATTAGCGGGAAAACTAAACTAAACTAAACTTTGAAATCTGACAAATACCCGATGCAATAAGAACAATATCATTGCGCCTGTCGGCTTTGATCTACATAAGTTCATTATGGTTAGATTTTAATGAATCATATAGTGTAAATCTTTCATGCGAAAATTGACAATCTTACCATACGATAATGTCCTGGTTTGTATTCCACAAAGTTAGTGCCTGTATGAAAGATGGAATGCATTGATTTTTAGATTATTAAAATATCATTATACTGCGAGTCAAGGACAGAAAACCAACCTGAAGAAAAATACAGAGAAGCCGCTTCATTTTCTTTGCTGCTGATATATCGAGTGCAAATTATTGATTGCCCGTCGGTCACTGCAAAATTGAGCAAAGAAGGCTGAACAACATGTGTGAGCGAAATGTTAGTAAAATTTGGAGAACTAATTAAAAAATCCAGATGCGCTGTAATCACCTCATCTATCCCTTCTTCTTTTGCCCAAATGTTTAATTGATCTATGGTTTTTAACATGGCCATCCTCAAAGTCTCATAATCAAAATTTCCATTCTTAGGGTCTTCAAGCTATCGTGATTAACGGCAAAATAAATAATTTGTCAATAAATACGTGCACGCAGTGCAGCAAAATCGATGACATGTGACTTTGTTTAACTGACTTGATTGAGAAACAGCGCAAACGCCCACTCTGAATCCGTGTTCCCTTGGACATGGAAAAATATTTCGTCCCTTAAGGACTGTTGCAATTTTCGCTTTATCTAAATTAGTATTAATGTATTTTAATTAGCCGTTTAAAGGAGACACAATTTGTCATAAACAATGTCCGCATTTGAGGATACCTTGTTAAAGTTTGCAATATTTCCGTTATGTATCCACATTAAATTATGATATTGCCATGGGTGACCTGAATTCGTGTTAAGTATTAATTCATATACTTTTTACGGCAAATAATAAATAGGAAATAGTTTCAACGGTGAATTACAATTAGTTTCTGATAAAGCGCCGATGGTCGAGGCCCTAACATGAGCAAACACTAAACAACTCCGAATCTTTTCGGAAAGTCTCAGCAAATTACGATTATTCCAAGCGGGGGTAACAGAAGTAAAGATACAGGGTGTTGACCCATTTTCGGGATCTGGGTGAGGTTCGTACCAACCTATCGAAAATTTTTCGGCCTTTAGTATACGCGCCAAAAGTATAAAAGAATGAGGCAAGAATGAAGTTACCTATTCCAAATCCATCGCCTAGTGTGCGCAATAATTTGCATCATATTAGTAAAAACTTGAAAACACAAATATCTTATTCGTCTATTCGTAAATACCATTGATCGAACATGTGTCCAAACGGAGTTTCGAATCGAAAGACTGATTTACAATGGAGTGAGCTGGGCGTGTAATAAGCTATAAGTTAAATTTAAGATGAAGAAGCATAAAATTGGTTAAATTAGTTGTCTAGAAAAAGATTCTACTAGAAGAATGGGTAAGGTTCAAGAGCATACATGAGACAGCTGGATTGAATTTTTACTTTTATGAATTAAAAAGCGACACATATTTCTAGGATAGATTTGTAAGAAAATTGAAATCACGAAAGTTCGTGGTCGATGGTTTATAAATGTTACGATGCGACATGAAATGATGTGCATGTATAAATAATTATCATTGTACATCGTAAGTTTTTATTGTCATTTTTTTTTTTTTATTAGTACAGTACAGTATTTTTGTTTCCTTTTTTTCTCTTGTTCATTAATAATGACTCATTGGGATATGTGAGCCATGCATCAATGTCAAACAGGTTATCGTGGATAAAATGATTTACAATGTATGCAGTGTTCGATTGATGTACATACCCCTGTAGATATTAATGAACCGGATTATTGTATGCAGGTACATAGATGGGCTATATTTAATCTCGACATTCCACCAATTATAGCGGGAATAAATGAGATAATATTTGTTATCTTCGGTTAATTCACTATAATAACATTACCCGCTATATTTTATTTTTTTCGGATTCATATCTTTACATCTAATCCACTAACAAGTGAAGCTGGCGTTTTTAATTGTGCGAATTTTTTTTTTTTCGCAAATTTCTCTTTCATTATTCTTCATTAAAAATTCATTGTAGGATTGCAAAGTGGCGTCTTAAAGTTTACAGATTCGAATCGTACTGTATGAATAATTGATCATGCTTTGGCGATTTAGTCATTCCGATTCAATGACTTTCTTTTTTTGTGTGTGGACAATGATCGCTCAAAGATAAATCGGAGATACCTTTTTTCAATGGGCAAATCAGCTATAATTTTGTACATCGTTTTTTCATCTCAATGAACATCCTACGATATCATGTGAGTCCATTTAATGATATTTTAACACGAATGGTATATACAAAATTTTAACAACTTACAGTATGGTGCAATAATAATGATAATAATCAATCACTAACTTAATAAATATTTATTCTTATAATTTAAAAGTATAATAATAAAAAAAACAATTAAAATCACTTTAAAAAATAATAACTTTATAATAATTTCTGTTTTAAAGTAAAGATATCTTTAAAAAACTAGATTCAAAAGTGAGGCTACAAATGAAATTTTTTTAAATTTTTATATATTACAATTAAACAAGTTTGTATGGTTTATTAAATCTTTTTACAAAAGACAAATAATATGTAATATATTAAATATTATATTAAATGTATAAACTATTCTACAAACTTGAATACTTTAATAATGAAAAAATAAGATTAGAAAATTTTGGCCTATAAATTATCATTACAGCTTTTTATTAATTAATTTATCAAATCATTATATATATGTATATATATTAAAAAAGAAAAATATTTTTTTATTGATATATAACAAATATACATTTGTAAAAAAACAATATCTCACATATACAAAATATATAATAAATTAATTACTAACTTACTAATAATAATAAAGAATTTTAAAATGTAAAAAACTCTTTCCGCTAATTCCCTTGCCAATACAAAAAACAGACATTCCAAGAAAATTTTTATATTTCTTTGTAATAAAGTCTATGCACTTTCATTAACAACATACATATCAAGAAGCATAGTCTCCCCTACTTGTTTCTTTCTCTCTTTGATATAAACTTCTTGTATTTCTGTGAGTAAATATAAGAAACTTCTACCTACAAAGTT